GTCTCCTTGGTGAGACGGGAATTCTTATATCGATCTTTCTCTCTTATTGTGCACCAGAAATTCTGCCGAAATTTCCGCTGCGCACAACAAGTGGTATCAGAGCCTAGATTCCAGATCTAGGGTTTGGTTGGAGGAGTAGATCAATTTGGAGGCTCGTTTAGGGCTTCGTTGGTGATAAAGGTGGGATCTTTTGGTAAAGACTCTATCTTTTTAGTTTTGGATCTATTCTTCGTTCGTTGGTGCGTAAGATGTCGGGGAAAGAAGGTGTTTCGGGTGTCGAGGGTGGTGCTTCTGGCGGGAAGACCATTCAGAGTTTGAATATCCACTCTATGAAGATAGATGTGGAGAAATTTAATGGCACAAACAACTTTGGATTATGGAGATGCGAGGTTTTGGATGCGCTGAACGCGCAGAATTTGGAGGATACATTGGAGTTAGATGGCAAGCCAGATGAGATTGAAGAGAAGGTCTGGAAAAAGATGAATCGAACGGCGTGTGGTGTGATTAGGTCTTGTTTGACTCAAGATCTAAAATATGATGTGATGAATGAGACTTCTGCGAAGAAGATTTGGGAGATTCTCGAAAGCAAATATCTGACAAAGAGTGTTGAGAACCGCTTGCATTTGAAGAGGAGACTTTATCGTTTCCAGTTGAAGAAGGGAACCTCCATTAGAGATCACATGAACCACTACACAAAGCTTCTTGCGGATTTGACGAATGTGGATGTCAAGATTGAAGATAAGGACAAGGCGTTGCTGTTGTTAAGTTCCTTGCCCGACGAGGAATATGAGACATTCGTTCTTACTCTGATTAATGGGAAGGCATCCCTTTCGTATAGTGAGGTCACTGTTGCATTGGTGAATTATCAGCTTCGGAAGAAGGATAAGGAGAACTCGACTGAGTCGGTAGCAGAGGCGTTGGTCGCAAGAGGGAAGAATCCAAACCGGAAGAATTGGAAGTCACAGTCTAGAGTAGGGCATCCTACAATTGGAAAAGATCAGTGTGCTTGGTGCAAGGAGACTGGTCATTGGAAGAAAGACTGCCCAAAGCTCGACGAATGGATGAAGAATAAGCAGAAGGGAAAAGGGAAGCAACCATCATCAGAAGCAAACATCGTATCGGATGGTAATAATTCTGACTCTTCTATTTATTCGCTTTCTATCAGTCCTACAGATAGCTATTCGGAGGAATCTGAATGGATGTTGGATAGTGGTGCGACCTATCATGTGTGCCCTAGAAGGGAATGGTTCTCCAGTTTTGAGAAGCTGGTGGATAGTGGTGTGGTGTACATGGCTGATAACCGTGCATGCCAGATCCTTGGGATAGGAAGAATTCGCATAAAGATGTTTGACGGGACTGTTAGAGAGTTAAACGATGTGAGATATGTTCCTTCTTTGAGGAAGAACTTGATCTCGATTGGAGCTTTGGTTGGAGAGGGTCTGAAGGTTCGTGTTGAGGACATAGTTCTCGAGATTGCGAGAGACTCTCGTATTTTGATGAAGGGCGTCAGGAGGAATAACCTGTATTACTTGACTGGAGGTATAGTGGCAGGTGGAGAGCTGGCGACTTCTATTGATTTGACTAGACTGCGGCATTTGGGGCTTGACCATTCCAGTATTGATTCCTCGTATAGAGTGAAAGAGGGTGCGAAGACCTGCAGTTTGAAGTCCAGTGAACATGTTGATGTGAGCAAGAAGACCGAGGTGAAGTGTGGCACCTCTATTCACCGTGCTAAGGGTCGTTCTGGAGGAGTTCACGTGGATGTTTGGGGGCCTTCCAAGGGAGCATCATTGGGAGGTAATAGGCGTTTGGTTTCCTTTGTTGGTGACTGTTCTAGGTGTGTTTGGGTTGCAACCAAATCCCCGATGGATAAAGTCCTAGTAGTCTCTAACAGTTGGAAGAAGTGTGTGATTGGCAGAAAGGTGAAGGTACTCCATTCTGGTGGGAGGTACAAGATGGACCTGTTTCTGCATTGGAGCCGAGCTCACGGCATTGCGAGATACTTCGTTGGAAAGGAAATCTTGGGGCAACTTAATAGGGTGGAAAATTTGGAGAACCGTACCTTACTGGAGGAGGATCGGTGTTTGTTGTCAAGCAATGGTCTGCAGAAGAGTTTCTGGACAGAGGCTTCGACATATTTGGGTCATCCTATTAAAGAGTTGTCAACTGCTGTGATTGGAGGTAAAACTCCATTGGAAGATAGGTCTGGTAGTGTCACTTTGTTTGAGGCTTCGATGAGGGAGCCGGTTGACTCTCAGCAGGTGGAGAGTTTTGGACAGACCTTAGAGGTATCGCAGCGGGTGGAGATGGATGCTACTCCACATCGGGTAAAGATTACTCCAGATCATTCTGCATTGATTGAGATCCCAGCTGAGGTGACACAGTGCGGGAGTCATTTGGATTCGGATGCAGATGATGAGTTGGGTTTTGAATCGAGTGCAGCTGGCAGACATAGTTTGGATATGGCCATTGGTTCGCCTCAGGTGGAGGTGTTTGAGGCCATTGGAGGTGCTATCAGCCGCAGAGTTGATGATATTGGAGAAGGGGTGCGAACTCTTCTATTGGGTTGAGGTCTTTGGAGGCCATTTGGGTGAACTACGTTCGGCTTGATTCCTTGGGCAAGAGGATACGTAGGCAGTCTTATGATGCAGCCGGGTTAGTGGATTTTGATAGGGGTGAGATCGATTTGGTGAGTTGATACTGACATTTGGAGAGTGTTTGCATTCTCATTTGGGTTCTCGACTTGTTATGGATTGAGTCTGTTGTCGTGAATTGTTTCACGGTGTACTGGACACAACAAGTGAGACATTTTGGTTTGGTTGGTGTCGGCTCAGTTTTGAGAAAACTTCGCCGAGGTGGAGAATTGTTGATAGCGACGCGTGAATGGCTAAGGAGCTGAAATTCCGTGTGAAGAAAATTTGAGTGGGGACCACATGACACGTGAAGAGAAGAGAGTTTTGTTGAATGCAGAGTTTTGTTCAGCGGACAATTGTGCTAGGCCCACCCGATTGCTTGATTGCTATAAAAGGTCACCTAGGTTTTTTCTTTGACTCGATGCAAGAGCATGCTTTTGGAGAAAAACAGCGAAGGAGCAAGTACAAGGGCACGGAGTTTATTTGTTGGCGGCTACAGAGAAATTTCTTCGGCTTCGTGTGCAGTGCAGGAGTCGTGACCAGAAGAACAGAGGCGGCCTTTTTGAGAGAACTTGTGCAGTTACTTGTGCTAATTTTGTGAGAGATTGTTTGAGGGTTTAGATTTGAGAGATTGTAAACCCTAATAGCTTTTTAGGATCCCTCGACAGGTCAGTCCTAGAACTGATGAGAGGAAGAGCCGATATCTCACTTGGTTGAGATATCAGCTTCAGATTCTTGTCTCCTTGGTGAGACGGGAATTCTTATATCGATCTTTCTCTCTTATTGTGCACCAGAAACTCTGCCGAAATTTCCGCTGCGCACAACATATCCCTCTCAAACAAACTCAAATTCATTAACCACTTTAACTTGTACCCGTTAAGCTCCTAAAATACACTAACGAATAACCCCCAACCCAAACCTTTCTTCACTTCATTTTTTCCCAACATTTTACCCCATGGCTCTCTTCAACATTAATCCCAAATTTGCATCGAATAGGTTCTTATTGGGGAAGACGTCAAAGAAGACACTAAAGAAGATGAAGTGAAAATAGGGTTTTATTAAACGAATTGGGAGAGTTTAATGGTATATGTTAAGATGATTAAAAGTTTAGGTTTGTGTGAAAGGGGTATAACTGGCAAATCACTAAAAATTTAAATTAAGCAAAATATTTCCCTCATTTTAACTAGGGAAATATTTTAACATACAAGTTTGCAATAGTTTCACGTTTATGAACTAAAAGTATTAAGTGGGAGGGGTAAAAATAAATAAATGAGATAGAATTTCAGGGCAATTTAGCAAATTCCAAGATTTGTAGATTTACATTGGCAAATAAAGATTTAAATGGTACATATGCTATGCAAAAAACCCTTAATTTTTAGTGAAAACTTGAAACAACCGTGTAAATTATGAGGATTTTATTGATATATTAACAGTTAGAATATATAATAATAAGAATAATTTAAATATGAATGTGGTTGTAACTGCAGTAATAGTTTTAAATAGTTTTTTTTTTACGGTGAAGAGAAGAATCCATCACTTTATACACATCTCAAGCATAAAAATAAGAAAATAATATGAGGGACAGTGGAGTGTTCTTTATTTATGAAGATTTACGAATTTTCTTGCTATTCGTATGTTCTCTATTTTGATATATCCTTTTAATCCTAAATTATTAAATTACATTAAAAAAAGTTGAAGTATTTAATTATCCAGAATATTCTTTAATTAAGTAGTTGAAACACCATTACCTCTACCTATTTTCATTGGAGGGAAATAGAGTGCATTAAAACAAAAATAGCACAGTGGGTTTGTCCTTTCTTCTTTATTGTCAAAAAAAAAAAAAAAAATCCCATTCTCAAATTTTCAACTCATAGCTCAAATATTGTATTGTATTTAATGATAGATAAGACCACGTGTTCTATTAATAACAATTCTATATATTTTCCAAATAAGAACATTGGAAACTTTAGTTTTTGAATTTGTAAATAGAGAAAATATCTTTTTATCGAGACATGATTCCATAGTTCACCTCTTGTTAGAAATCATTATGTAGATTGATTTATAGCTCTAGCCCGTTTATCGAATGAATATCCGAGCTTTTGGAAAGAAAGCGGGCACCCACAGAAATAACCCACACAGCGTGTGGGACCCACAGTCGGGTCGAGTCATGGGGCAGTTCATCACTGTGATATGATAAGCAGCGTATAATGAGCGCTAATTAATTAAAACTTCAATTAAGCATAAGCTAGTTTTAGTTAGCGTTCTGCGTTCTTTATAAGCACGGGCGTATCGCACTCCAGACAGCTTATGAAACCTCTATATAAGGCAGTCCCCGCCCCCACTTTCTTCAGCTTCTTCACACGCTCTCTCTCCTTTTCCCGCCAATTCGCTTCGTTATCGGATCCGAATCCGATCCCCCTCCGACCGATCCAAGATCCGGCGACCACAACGGAGAGCTTTGAGCCATGGCGTCGATGATACGCGATCTCGTCTCCCTCATGCTGTAGTTCTTGGAGGAGCACAATTTCAAAGAAAACAATTTACAGGTAAGAATCTGTGTCCAAAACCCTAGAATTGAGTTTCTCTCTCCAATTTTTTTGACATATTCCTCTTTCTTCAGCTACTTCTCTCTGTTTTCTTCCGATTTAGTTATCGGATGCGAATACGTTAAGCACCCTGGCTGATCCAAGATCCGGCGGCCGCTGCGGCGATCTTGGCGCCATGTCGCGGTTAAGCGAGATCATTATCCTCATTCTCCAGTTCCTGAAGGAGCATAATCTCAAGGAGACGATTCACATGTAAGAATCCATGTCGAAACCCTAGAATTTGAGTTTCTCTCTCTAGAGTTGAGTTTCTCTCTCTAACTTTTTCGAACGATTTTTGGAAGATTGGAGCAAGAATCAGGGGTTTTCTTCAACATGAAGCACTTTGAGGAGGCTGTCCTCGCTGGGGAATGGGAGAAAGCGGAGAGGTACCTCTCAGGGTTCACGAAGCTTGACGATAATCAAATCTCGAAGAAGATTTTCTTCATGATCCGCCGGAATAAGTATATCGAAACCCTTCAGAGGTCCGTGAATTGTATTATTGACCTTTCTCAAGATTTTTTTGCTTTTGGATTGAAATTGATTGAGTTTTTATGATTTTAGGCACGATGTGTCAAAGGCTTGTGAGATCCTTATGAAGGACCTGAAAGTATTCTCCGAAGTTGACGAGGGTTTGTTTAAGGAGCTAACGCAGTTGCTTACGCTCGAGGATTTTCGGTATTGTTGGTTCACTTGTCAGAATTAGAAATTTTAATGGTAGATTGTTTTGGTTTTAATGAAGGTATACCTTACTTATTGTTATTTATTTTGTTTATCAGTGAAAAAGCCAAGCTTTCTAAGTATATTGATACCCGGTCAGCGAGGATTCTTGCAATTAATGAGCTCCGGAAGTTAATCAAGGCGAACCCATTATTTGAAGACATATTGCAGTTTCCGGATATGAAGGAGTCGAGATTAAAAACCCTGCTTAATCAGAGGTATAACTTTTAGAATAATTGGTTGTCCTGAATTAAATTTGATTTTTGGTGATGTTCGTTTTCCTGTTTCATGTCAGTTTACATTGGCAACACATGCGCTGTAAGAATCCTAGGTCACAACCTGAATTTAAGTCCTTATTCTTTGACCATTCTTGTCCTCAAGCTTCTGAAGCCATCATGCCTTCGCCTGCTCCTCCACCGATAAAATTGACTTCAAAATCTTCTCCTTCACCAATGAATCCGATTGCAAAACCTACGACGATGAATATGACTGCAAAACCTGTTCCTTCATGGTTGAATTTGGTTGCAAATCCTGTTCTTCCAACAATGAATCCGATTGCGAAACCTTCTCCACAGATTGAAAAAATTTCTCCTCCACCAATGAATCCAATTGCAAAGCCTGCTCCTCGACCAATGAAAGTGAATTCAAAACATGCTTGTCCAACAATGAATCTGACTGCAAAACCTGTTCCACTGATGAAATTACCGATGAATCCGACTGCAAAACTGAGTGGCTTTCCTCTAATAAGGCCTCCTGAGGTAACTGAAATTGTTCAGAAAGTGTTCTTGCAGTGCATTGGCATTTACTTTTTTTCTTTTTCTTTTTCTTTTTTTGTACGCCTGATGCTTGTGTTTTCTGTTCTGCCATTTCAGCCAGCAGCTGATGATGGTTCAACCAAAGTTGCAGCTGAGATCCCTTCTCGGATGGCTCCATACAGGACCTCTTGTGAATTCACTGGTAGGCTCATTAGACCATATATTTATATTACTCCTCGTGATGTCAAGTATGGCTTTTCCTTTCAAAATTTGAGATGTTTTGCAGAAAACCCCTTAAAACTTTATAAATTAGAAAACACCTCAACAAACCTTCAATGAACTATTGAAAATTGTTTTGAATGGTGTCAACGTGATAGGTCAAGGTCCTGTGTGGTCGAATCACTATCTTCGGATGTCCCATTCAGAAATCTATGATGCAGTCCCTGGTTTAGTCTCTGATACGCTCAGTGGATCAGATGTTCCTCCTAATGCTTGTAATGTGAAATTTGTCTTTTCCTTTTCCGTGAACTTTCCAATTTATATAAAACTCCCATAAACTACTGAAAATATTATTGGAACTTGTCATAAATGACTGTTAACATGATGAATGAAAGGTCAAGTGCGGTCCAATCCGCCTCCTCTGGTGCCCTGTCAAGCAATCTCGGATGCAGTCCGGGATGCAGTCTCTGATATACACACTGGACCAAATGTTCCTCCTAATGCTTGTAATCTGAAATTTGGAAATTTGTCTTTTCCTTTTCCGCTGAACTTTCTAAGTTACACAAAACCTCCTGCATTATTGAAATTTCTCATAAATGATGTTAATGTGATGAATATAGGTCAGGTGCCATCCAATGCCCCTCCTCCAAAGCCCCGTCCAGCAATCTCTGCTGCAGACTTTGATAAACCCATTGAACTAGATGTTCCTCCTATTACTGGTAATGTGAGATGTACCTTTTTTTCACTCTATAGTTTCTCAATTCCGATTCAGAAAATCTCAGTGTGTGGAGAACTTTTTGCTTAATAAGAGCTGCAAAATTTTTCTGTACACTGCACGTTTTTTTAGGCCAGTGACACACTAGATTGCATTTTCTTTCCAATCTGTTATATTGTTATATAATTTTTTGTTCATCATGATAGCTTCTCTGTTGAATGTTATCTATCAACAGATCCTGATCATGGGCTTAAGAAACGAGGTCCTAAGGGAAAATCTGATGAGGTACTTTGTTGAACCTTTAAAATTTAGCTCCGACTTTCCACACTTCATGCCTGCTTCATATCTCTGTTGGCCCCTGTGGTTAAATCTAAAATAATATAGATATAAAACAACAAAAACCGAACAGAAAATTAAATGGCAGTAATTTAAAGAAAACATGGGCGGCTCTGTTAGGCAACAACCCATGTGAGAAAATTAAAAAAAATATTCAACAATCCTCCACAATTTTTTTAAACTACTATCGTGTAACAGTGCCGTCGTTTCAATCGTTGTGCATAAGGAAGATGTCGCAAGGACTTGAATCCCCTTTAGACCACCTGAATAAAAGATAGGTGCATGGTGTCACAGAGACTTGAACCAGTACATGTCTAAAAATTCAGCGAACACACAAGATCAAACTTATCTGTGGTAGTTTTTACTTTGAACCACACTTGCCTTTATCTTTGTCTTTACCTTGCCTTTGCCTTTGCCTTTGCACATTTATGGTCCTGTGCATAGGGGTGCTAAACAGTTCGGATATATCCGAACCGATCCGCATCCGTATCCGAACGGATGCGGATATGATAAGCTAATTTTGAAACTGGACGGATACAGTAATGGATACGGATCTGGTTTCGGATTTTTTTGCGGATACGGATTCGGAAACGAATATGAAGGATGCGGATACGAATATCCGCAAATGTAATAAAGATATCCGCAATGTTATATACGACTAGGTTGAAGTTATTAAAAACATTTATAGTAAATAAATTATTGCCGCCAAGGATCGAACTGGGGACCATTAGTGTGTAAGACTAATGTGATAACCACTACACCACAGCAACTTTGTGTGAATGCGAGTGGGGACCACGAGCATGAGCTGGGCAAATACCAATGATTGGGCAAAGGGAGCTGGACAAATACCAATGATTGGGCAAAGAAATTTGGGCAAAGAAATTTGATTTCCGCATGAAAAGAAGGAAGTGCTTGGGCAAAGAAATTTGATTTCCGCATGAAAAGAAGGAAGTGCGGCCCACCCGAATCAACCAATCACATTATAAAAGAGTCACCTAGGTTTTTTGAATCAACCAATCACATTATAAAAGAGTCACCTAGGTTTTTTGTTTCCGTGTGCAAGGGTCTTTTTGATTAGCGGCTGCAAGGGAATTGTTTCGGCTGGTCTTCTTTCGGCTGCGGAACAGTGAAGCAAAACTGCAGGAGGTCTGTGTTGCGGCTACAGAGAAGGTGCAAAAGAAAAAAAGAAGAAGAGGCTTTTCTTTTTAGAGTTTTTGTGCATCCTTTTGAGAGAGATAATTGTGTGAGGGATTTGAGAGATTGTGTGAGGGTTTAGATGAGTGATTGTAAACCTTAGTTGTATTCTCTCCCTCTATTAGTAGATCTCCCCCCTCCTTGTCCCGTGGATGTAGGAAATTTGCCGAACCACGTAAAAATTGGTTGTACTGCTTTTTGTGTGATTTGTAATAGCTTTTAGGTTCCCTCGACGCGCAGTCCTAGAGCTGACGAGAGGAAGAGCAAATATCCCACTTTGATGGGATATTAGGTTTCAGATTCTTGTTTCCTTTGAGAAACAAGAATTCTTATTGCGACCTGACTCTTGTTGTGCTGCCGAAGTGCTTCCGAAATTTTCGCTGCGCGCAACAAGTGGTATCAGAGCCCAGATTTCAGATCTAGGGTGTTTTGGTAGAGGAAGATTCAGTTAGAAGCTTGGTTCTTGGAGTTCTAGGCTTCGGTGGAGATAGCATTAGGAGTTGCCGTTTGAGATTTCGCTTTCCTCGTGTGGTTAAGAAATCTATTTGGAATCCAATCTAGGGTTCGGTTAGGTGGTTCCTAATTTCTATCAAATTTGTTCTTTCTCTACAATTTTGGAGTTAGTTCGCAATGGGAGAAGAAGGTGAAAGCAGCAAATCGATGGCGGGTACAATACAAGTTGGTTTTCAGAACACTAAAATTAGTGTGGTGAAGTATGACGGCAAAATCAACTTTGGTTTGTGGATGAGCGACGTACAGGATGCGCTCAATGCTCAGAATTTGGAAGAGACCATCATGGTCCACGAGAAGCCACCTAAATATGATGAGGCGGTATGGGAGAAGATGAATATGAACGCTTGTGGGGTGATCAGGTCCTGTTTGGAACATGAGCTGAAATATGATGTGATTGGGATGACGTCTGCGATGAAGATGTGGGAAATTCTTAACAATAAGTATCTTACGAAGAGTGTTAAGAACATGTTGCATTTGTTGCGTAGGTTATTCAGATTCCAGATGTCCCGAGGCACCTCACTAGCGTCTCATGTGAACAACCACACTAAGTTGTTGTCGGACTTGGCGAATGTTGATGAGAAGATATCGGATGAGTACAAAGCGATTATTTTGTTGGGCTCCTTATCAGATGAGGAGTATGATACCTTCGTGCTCACTTTGTTGAACGGGAGATCTTCTATCAGCTATAGTGAAGTGACTAACGCATTGACCAACTACGATTTGAGGAGGAAGGATAAAGAGACTTCCCGTGCTAGCACTTCAGGTGAGGCCTTGTCGACGAGAGGTAGAAGCCCATATCCGAAAGGTGGTAATAGAGGGAGGTCAAAGTCAAAAAGCCGTCACCAATTAGCAAAGAACCAATGTGCATTTTGCAAGAAGCAGGGACATTGGAAGAGAGATTGCCCGAAGCTCAAGGAGAAGGAGAATGACAAGAAAAAGGGCCCGAAGGCCAATGAGGTGAACGTTGTGAAAGGCGATGATTCCGATGATTCGTACTTTTCTCTACTGATTACTCCGGAGGTGAACCATGTGGATGCATCAGATTGGATGCTTGATTCCGGCACTACTTTTCATGTGACCCCTAGGCGAGACTGGTTTGCATCTTTTGAGAAAGTCGACGGGGGCGTTGTTGTCATGGGAAATGATCAATCCTGTGGCGTTTGTGGGATAGGTACCGTACGGATTAGGATGCACGATGGAGTAGTCCGTGAGTTGAAGGAGGTGAGATTTGTTCCTCAACTGAAGAAAAATCTTATCTCAGTTGGAGCTTTGGAGGCGAAGGGATTCAAGGTGACTTTCGAAAACGCTGTAGCGAAGGTTACTAAGGGATCATTGGTGGTGATGAGGGGAGTCCGCAATCGGAATTTGTATTATCTGAAGGGAAGCACCGAGATTGGCCAGGTTGCTTCGGCTATTTCAGAAGCGGACATGAGCAGACTTTGGCACTATAGGTTGAGGCACACAGGTGAAAAGTCACTGCAGGCATTGTGCAAGCAGGGGCTATTGAAGAGAGCCAAGAGTGGGAAGATTAAGTTCTGTGAGCACTGTGTTCTTGGCAAGAAGACAAAGGTGAAGTTCGGGACTGCCATTCATCAGACGAGGGGCATCCTGGACTACGTGCACACAGACGTTTGGGGTCCTACCAAGACTGCATCACTTGGTGGTAGACATTGGTTCGTCACTTTTGTAGATGACTATTCTAGGCGTTGTTGGGTGTACACCATGACGAAGAAGAGTGAAGTCCTAGATTTGTTTGTGGAGTGGAAGAAGAGATTGGAACTGCAGACTGGGAGAAAGATCAAGACGTTGCGATCCGACAACGGTGGTGAGTATATTTCTGACCCCTTTCAGCAGCTATGTCGAGACGAGGGCATAGAGAGACACTTCACAGTTAGTCATACACCGCAGCAAAATGGGGTGGCAGAGGGTTGAATCGGTCTTTACTGGAAAAGATCCGATGCTTATTGTCGCAGAGTGGTTTGGAGAAGATCTTTTGGGCTGAGGCACTTACATATGCGAGCCACCTCATTAATAGGCTGCCTTCATCTGCGATTGAGGGAAAAACCCCTATGGAGATGTGGTCGGGAAAGCCAGCACATGACTATGACCAGCTCAAGGTATTCGGGTGCCCTGCATATTATCATGTTAGAACTGATAAATTGGAACCTCGAGCTAGGAAGGCCATATTTGTAGGATTCAAGCGTGGTGTCAAGGGATACAAGCTTTGGGATCCAGTTGATAAGAAGATTGTGCTGAGTAGGGACGTCATGTTTGATGAAGCTTCTATCTTGAAGCTTCTCAGCTCTCATCAGGTGGAGAGCGACCCGACGGAGGAGATATCGCAGGTGGTGGAGATCGATGCAGCTCCACATTGTCCAGATGGTACAGTATCCATGCAGGTGCCGACTGAAGTGACGCCAGGCGAGCACGACGGTAATACGGAGGATACGAGTACAAATGTGCAGGATCAGGAACCGACGGCTCAGGTTCAAGATTCTATTGCGGTTAGGAGACAGAGGAGAAACATACAGATGCCAGCACGGTATGCCGACACAGTTGCGTATGCACTTCCGGTGGAGAGTATCGATGAGTTAGTGCCTACTACATTCAGAGAGGCCGAGCAGAGTTCGGAGGCTGATTCGTGGCAGGTGGCTATGCAGGAGGAGATGGAATCTCTTCATAAGAACGATACATGGGAGCTTGTTGAGCTTCCAAAGGGGCGGAAGGCAATTGGTTGCAAGTGGGTATACACGAAGAAGGAGGGCATTGAGGGCACTCCATTGAGGTTCAAAGCTAGGTTAGTTGCGAAGGGCTATGCACAGGAGGAAGGAATAGATTATAATGAGGTTTTCTCTCTGGTGGTGAAGCACTCTTCGATTCGGATTCTGCTAGCTTTGGTGGCACAGTATGGTTTGGAATTAGATCAGTTGGATGTGAAAATGGCATTTCTTCATGGTGATCTTGATGAAGAAATATATATGACCCAGCCATTGGGATTCCGAGCTGCAGGAAAAGATAAGTTGGTTTGCAGATTAAAGAAATCGCTATACGGTTTGAAGCAGTCTCCTCGACAGTGGTATAGGCGATTCGATGGTTTTATGATTGGTCATTCGTACACTCGGAGCCAGTTTGATCCTTGCGTATATTTTCGCAAGTTGAAAGGAGGTGCGTACATCTATTTGTTGCTCTATGTCGATGACATGTTAGTTGCCTCTACTTCCAGGTCGGCTATAGATGAGTTGAAAGTTCAGCTATCAAATGAGTTTGAGATGAAAGACTTGGGTGAGGCGAAACGCATTCTAGGGATGGAGATCGGCAGAGACAAGAAGAATGGCAGAATTTGTTTGACACAGGTGGCTTATTTGAAGAAGGTTCTACAACGATTCCATATTAGCATGGATACGAAGCCAGTTAGTGTACCTTTGGGAGCCCATTTGAAGCTTTCAGCTGGTCTTTCACCGAAGTCAGTTAAAGATCGAGAGTTAATGTCGAAGACTCCATATGCGAGTGCGGTTGGGAGCTTGATGTACGCGATGGTATGTACGAGCCAGATTTGTCACAAGCGGTAAGCATGGTATCGAGATACATGCATGATCCGGGAATGAGTCATTGGGACGCTGTGAAATAGATTTTGAGGTACATTCGAGGTACACTCAATGTTGGTTTAGTTTATGAGCGGGACACTACAGGTGGGCAGTTGTGCATTGGCTATGTTGATTCGGATTATGCCGGTGATTTGGATAAGCGCCGGTCTACGACGGGGTATGTGTTCACTTTGACCCGTGCGCCGGTGTGTTGGAGATGCACCTTACAGTCGACGGTGGCTTTGTCTACGACGGAGGCAGAGTATATGGCAGTTACGGAGGCTGTGAAGGAGGCTATTTGGCTTCGAGGACTTTTGGAGGAACTTGGTATATCGCAGAGGTCCGTCACTATTCATTGTGATAGCATGAGTGCTATCTATTTGGCGAAGAATCAGGTTTTTCATACGAGAACGAAGCATATTGACGTTCGTTATCACTTCGTTCGGGATGTTCTTGAAGATGGCGATGTGGAGATTGTG